AAAACTCACAAGTTGCAGTGCTTTCTGGAGAGACTGAAACGAAAAGTTCACATTTATTACTACGGGACATTCAAAATTCAATGTGCTATTTTTCTTAAAGCATTTAAGCAGATAAACTTATTTCTTACCTTTTGGAGGACTAGGTGTTGGTGAGTGTGTTGCCGCTTGTGACGGAGGGTGTGCTGAGCGGTGTGTTGCAGGTTGTGACGGAGGGTGTGCTGAGCGGTGTGTTGCAGGTTGTGACGGAGGGTGTGCTGAGCGGTGTGTTGCAGGTTGTGACGGAGGGTGTGCTGAGGAGTGTGTTGGAGGGAGGGTTGTAATCGATGTTGGACTGACAAATGATGTTTTCACTCTGTATYCTGCAAAATTTCCATCACTTATTGCTTGCAGAAGAGGTTGCTTGCGATCAAAGGTATTTGTGGGCCATCCTAACTCTACCACAGCTACAACACTCCCTCTTCTATGAAGAAGAGAACAGTATTTTTTTAACGAATAAAACGTTTTTTCTCACACTTCTTGGGTGTTTACGGCGCTTCGTAATTGCCTCAGCACTGTGCTTTGTTCACTAATAAACCTCAGTTTTCGACCAATCAGCACGCACACGTACTATTCTAACTATATAATAAATAGCAAATAAAATATTTAATCACAGCCTTAAAAGTAACAGTATTATTATAATAAGAACTAGATTTTGTTGCCTACCTCAAGCATTATTGAGGTATACTGGCTTACCTGTATCTTGTTACTTCACACTTGTGAATGGTTTTGCCTTTCGAGGCATATGCAGTAAGGCACTATTACATGTATACTGGCTTACCTGTATCTTATTACTTCACACTTGTGAATGGTTTTGCCTTTCAAGGCATATGCAGTAAGGCACTATTACATGTATACTGGCTTACCTGTATCTTATTACTTCACACTTGTGAATGGTTTTTCTTTTCAAGGCATATGCAATAAGGCACTAAAATGTAAACATTTAATTTTTTTAAGCATTTTATTCTTTAATGTTAAGCTTTAACACACCTCCAAGAAAGCAAATGAAAATTGTTGAGTTGTTTGAAAAGTATTTTTTTWATACCTTTTTATTACCAATTTATATAGTTATGCAACACAACTCCAGTCGTCTGAGATTTTAGCTTCCATCAATTAAAAAATTACAAACTTAGACCACTGTAAATTAGTTGACGTAAGACAAGAAAAAAATACAGTTCRATTAGTGAATATATAGAATCTATGAATTAGTCATGTACAACGTGGTTACCTCAGTTTCAATCTTGTTTTTTAACTCCTTGTGATTGTTATAGCTGGGGTTTTCATATTCATAATTGTATGTCAAGTTAGTGAACTCGATCGCCAGCTCCTCTTTATCACATCCAGATCCACCTAATATAGTAGAAAACATTTAAGGACTAGGCACTAATGCAAAGCTTATGAAATAATAATAAAAAAAAGAAAAAATAAAAATAAAAGATGCTTTACTTTTAAAATTGCAATGATCATATATCATTTATTATTATTGCTGGTATTGTTGAAATACTGTTATTGTAAATAAACAGCTATCTTTCCTCGCCCTATAGTTTTTCATTCTATTTAAAAACCACCCACGCCCTATTTCTATTGTTAGATGTAGTGTTTGAATTTCAATGGAAAACCTAAATTTAACCTTGATTTAAAGTTGAGGGCGAGATTGATATTAACAGGGGAGAGCGGGGCTGAATTCAAAACCCGCCAGACAGGTTTTCCATCGAAATTCAAACCCTACATCAAACAATAGAAATAGGGCGTGGTTGGTTTTTAAACCAGTTAAAACTTACTTAGTCGGGTTTCCATTGAAATTCAAGACCTTGGGCCTGCCTGATATTAAATACAACTGCTAATAGAAWTRCCTACTTACATGTTGAAAACTGYACAAATGCAGTTGCACTAGCATTCTCAGCTATTCCARTACTTTTGGCTGTGCATCTGTAGACCCCGACTTTGGAGTCGTCAAAATTTGTTATTGTTAGCGGGCTCCCTTGAGAGAAAGATTGGGAGCTTCCAATCTTTTCCCATGTTATTGTTGGTCTTGGTTTACCATCAGCAGCACATTCAAATGTGACAGTTCCTCCTGATACTGTTTGGTTCCTGGGGTATGTTGTA